AGAGAGAGAGGGGGGGGGATTGAAAGAGAGAGAGAGAGAAAATTATGATCATCATTGTAATTTTGGATCTTAAAGTAGACGTAATCACTCAGTTAAAAGTTGCATTGGTATACAAGGCTGGCGAATGAAAGTTGTTGGGTTTTTTTCTTGTGAAAAATCAGATTGCTTTTTTAGGTTTTAGTGGTGTACTTTAGATCTGTATTGTCAGGTCTCATTCCACCATTTTAGAATATCTGTTACCATAATGTCATTGGGTAGAGCCATTGACTAACTAATTTTATTATCCAAGTACCTTCTCCATGTTATGTAACAGTGATGTGTCTTTATTAGATATTAAATTTTCCTTTTCATTGTTTCTGTAAGTGTGTTTTTCATGTTTCAATAGGCACGATTTAGAGTACTTAGGAAGTGGGCTTCGACCCTGCCTTTCAGGACCAACCCTCGCTCAGAGGGATACAACGTCCCAGCAGATATACCAAGATACTCTATAAATATTCTACCCCTCCCCCACGAGAGCCGAACTGAGGTCTTCTGCTCGCGACGACGAAGCGTTTAACCACTACAGCACAGAGGCAAGAAGACCAAGTCTGAAGGAGATCATTCTGACTTCAGGTGCTCACTGTCCTGTTATATTTTAGTGTGTTATTGATGGAGGTTTCTTTTTTTCTCCTCCTCAGAACGCATCGCTTCACATGCATGAAGTTCGTAAAAAGAAGTCACAACGTTGTTCAAGTTTATGAGGGTAAGCTTCCGATTTTGTATAATATTATTATTATTATTCATTAGGCTGAGGAAAAGCGTCACTTCCGCTGCCATGTCGTATGTTTGGTACAAACGTTTTTTGTTTGTTTGTTTTTAATTAATTTTGGGGAGGGGGGGCGGTGTTGTTGCTCTATCTAGAAGGGTTTTTTTTTGTTTTGTTTTTTTGTCACTAATTTGAATGATTTTTCTTATTATGCTCTCTCTCTCTCTCTCTCTCTCTCTCTCTCTCTCTCTCTCTCTTTCTCTCTCTCTCTCTCAGCCTCCTTCACTTCAGTACAGCTAGTTTTTGCTTCTTATTTTATTTTTGGAAGGGGGTGTATTTGCTTTGCTTATTTGTTTGATAGTTTGTTTGTT